CTGTGTAAAACATATGCAAGTATATTTGTCAGTTCATTCCGCTGTGGTGACCCCTGATGAATAAGGTAAATGAATGATTGAATGAATGAATGAATGAATATAGTGCCATAAAAGTACACAAGTGTTTGTTGTGGAAAGTTTATTGCTTGCTAATGATCATTTAATCAACACTAACTGGTAGGCAGGATGACTTCTGGAGCAGTTATGGCAAATGAACATTGCATGAAGTGTTTATTATTATTATTAGTGAATAATAAGTCTAATTTGACGACGTCTTTAAGTCTTAAAACACTTCTGGAGGTCACCGTATGCATACTGTATGAGTGTAAAATCTTTTACACACACTCTTTCTCCTCATAATAGTGTGTGTAAGACGCTCTCCAGATGTTTGAGCTTTGAACCGAACGCTTTCAATGGGAATTCAGATGAGAAAGAGCGCTTGTGTGAGAGAAAACCTGTAAACAAATCCTACACATCATTAGCATACACAGCTTTGAGTTCTTAATCTACATAAAACTCACAGCTTCCTTTATTGAGTTTGCTTTCTGTCAGACAGCAAGATTAAGGAGTGTACACACACACACACACACACACACACACACACACACACACACACACAATTGTGTTTTTTTCCCTCATTAAAGCATCTAAGTTCACAGATTTTTCATGACGTATAAAGCTTTAATGAAGAAGTTTTAATCCTTATTTGAAAAATGAAGGAGACATATTAAAAGCAGTGCTGCTAAAGGAGTGGATGGCAATAATAAAATATATATAATAAAATTATGATATAATATAATAATTCTTTATATTTAAAACTGGAATTTTCTTTAACTTTAACTGGAATGTTCTATGAAAAACTTAAAATCTTGATATGAGAATGATAATGCAAAATATTTACACAGTATACTGGGCTACTGTATTTTTAGATTTTCTTGCTTGTTTTATCATAAAATTGTTATAAAATCATTATTTTACCACAAGTTGGATCAAAGTACTGTTGAAATGCACACCAAAATGTTTAAAATGTGCTCTCAATCAACTATTCAGTCACTCCAGGATTTCTGTAGGTGCATTTTTAATGACTAAAATACGTTTGTAATGACTAAAATGACACATAACTCATAGCAAAATGTTTGTTTTGCTTAAAAAAAAAAAAAGTTTAATCTCAAAAACAACTGGGCTTGCAAAATCCTGGAGGAACTGACTATTAAAAGGCACTTGATATATAACAAAAACATCACTTGTTGAAATGAATACAGTCATATCAAGACCACAACAGGGAAGAGTTCATCTCTTCAACGCTACCTTCAGGTTTCAAACAGGAAGTTTTTTTTTTTTTGGTGTATGTGTGTTGAGAACTGTGCCCCCGTCCCTCTCGAACTGTGGTTAAAAGTAGCACAGACCCTGCTGTGAGAGACTTTCTGCGAGATGCAGCTCTGAAATTTCCACCTCATTCAAATTTCGGAAAAGTGCGTGGGTTCGTCTGCAGCGGACGTGTCAATAACACTCTCAAAATGAGCATTTGTACACACTGATGAACACATAGTGGCATGACCAGTGCTCGCCACCAAAACCACACGGCTTTCAACTTCTGATGCTGCTCTGGAAATATGATGCATGTTTGCTCTAGCATACAAACACTGTTTTCATTTACCGGAAAAGTGTGTGAGAAAAAAAACACATCAGTGATTGTTTGTATGTGGATGTCCATAAGTAGGATACAGACAAATTTATTAACCCTCATTTTAGTGAACATTTTTACACATAACAATTTTAATAACTAATAAATCCAGAAGCGTATCCGATTATAGTCCTGTCGCTTTAATGATGAACATGTGAGAGTTCACTTGGACAGGAGGTCAGGTGATGCAGTTTATTGATGTTATTAAAAGTGACCAGACTACAGTCAGACTACATTCGCACACTATTTGACCTGGTTGTGGATTAAAGCTGATAATATTACAAATAAGGTTCAATTTCTTACATGAACCAATCATTCGGCTTCACAAGACCTCAGTGTGTCATCAGGAGCCGTAGCTATTGGTTTGGACTCGTTTGTGTGCATTTATTTTGAATCTAAAACACCATTTCACTGCTATTATATGACTCACCAAGAACAACAGATTCAGCTTGAAATCTTCTTTAATGTTCTACTGAAGAAGAAAAGTCACTTACATCTTGGATTAACTATGGGTGAGTTAATTAAGAAGACATTTTCATTTTTGGGTGAACTACCCCTTTAACTAGGCAAGTGGGATTAATTTGGAAAGTCATTGGACAACTGTTTTGCTCTGTAGCTGATAGAGAAAACTAAATCTTAAAGGGGCTAAAAATATTGACCCAAGTCATTTTTTTAACATAAAATAAACTAAAAGAAACAAGACTTTCGCCAAAAGATAAATATAATAGGAAATTGCTGTGGTACACTTTGCTTTGTTAAACATCACTTGGGAAAGAATTAAAATTTCTAATAATTCTGTTTTTAACTGTACACTACCTAACAATAGTCTTGTCGTGGATGTCAGTTGTAAGAGCAACAAGTAATAACTTGACTTCTGGACCCAAGATTCTCATAGAAATCACTCAAGTTTGGTGAAGGAAAAATCATGGTTTGGGGTTACATTCAGAATGGGCAATGTAACGAGAGATCAGCGAGAGATCTGCAACATCAACAGCCTGAGGTGTCAAGACATCTGTGCTGCCCATTACATTACAAACCACAGGAGAGGGACAATTCTCCAGCAGGATAGCGCTCCTGCTCATACTTCAGCCTCCACATCAAAGATCCTGAAGGTCAAGCTGCTCCAGGATTGGCCAGCCCAGTCACCAGACATGAACATTATTGAGCATGTCTGGGGTAAGATGGAGGATTGAAGATGAACACAAAGAGTCTTGATGAACTCTGGGAGTCCTGCTGAACGCTGTCTTTGCCATTCCAGATGACTTTATTAATCAGTGATTTGAGTCATGTCAGAGATGTATGGATGCAGTCCTCCAAGCTCATGATGGAGTCAGACACAATATTCATTCTGTCTCCACTGCAGCAGGACTTTATATTCTATACTGGACATTATTTCTGTTCAGTGATGAGAGTTTAGTCTAAGCTGAGTCAGACCTTACTGTCCTAATCAAATCATTCAAAATCAAGGCATGATCATAGACTATTGTGCTCAAATAAGTGTCATCTAGAGGCCTTCGCCTTTCATACGAGCCACTTCTGACACCAAATGATCAACTAGAAGTCCTGTTATTATTTACTGTTTCTAAAACTTGGATAGACGACAAGACTTTTCTCAGGTAGTGCACTGTATATGACACATTTGATCAATTCCAGCAAAGCAAAACTCGACTATTTACTCATTATTCCGACCATACGAGAGAAATAAAGAACTGAAAACTCAAAGAGAGTGAAAAAGGGAACTGAAGGCTGTTGAGTCAATTCATGTAAAAATGCTGGCATACAGATTGCTTAAATAAATACAAAAAAAAGATTGCAAAACGAAAGTCTATCGAAGCATCTGAGCGCAAGATGACAAAGTCATATATCATGTGACTGACTACTGTTCCTGACATCAGCATTCACTCTAACCGAAATAAAGCAACAATACCAGAAATCAATTTGGCAACAGTCATTAGACTGAAAGGGGAAGTGAGATGTTATTTTTGCAAGCAAATTTTTTCACCCCAGCCACATTAGGAGGATCGGTTTTGTCAAATTTACATGAACCGCACACAAATTCAAATTCGTGTTTACACTTAAACTTTGACAGATCATCCGTACTGACGCCCTAAAGGGACGGTTCACCCCCTCAAAAATAGGTTAAGTGCTTTTAGTAGTCAGTGGAACAATAGAAAGCAGAAATTTGGGAACTGTTACGCAGCTTTGGCCACACAAATGAAATAGACCCAAGTCATATGATATCCGAGAATTCTTTCAGGCTTACAATGAGTCAATAATGAGCTGAGGTTTACCTGGTTTGGCGAATTTAGCTCCTGGTTTTTCTTCTCACAGTCTTCAAGTTCTCCTTCAGCAGCATCGACCTCTCCTCGAGGGTCCAACACTAAACAAAGCCCAGCGTATTAGTTAGTTTCAACATTATGCAAACAAACTGAAACCTGTACAGTGACAAAAATTGTTTATTTTATTAAACCTTTTTGGTGATTATGAATTCTATTATGATATCTAGAAAGCATGGCACCTGATCACCTAAATAATTTACGGTAGTATAATTATTATTTTGTGGAAGCAGATATAAAAAACTAGGAGTATGATTGACTTTAAGGACTAAGAGAAACTTCAGATCATTTGAAGAATTTTCTACTACGTGCTTCAGAAAGCAACTACTTAAATGTTTTGATGAAATGCACTCATCATTTATTCATGCAAATCATGACCTGTATGACTTTCTACTGAAAAACTCAAAAGAAAAGAATGTACATTTACAAATAAGGGAAATTAAAAATAATTTTTTATGTTTATACTACTTTTAAACCACCCTTTTGTGAGATGGAAGTTTTTAATCAATTTAAATAGCATGTTATTTATTATAATCACATGTTCTTTAATAAATCTTGACACATACAGGTTATAATAGGTATGTTTATTGATCTTTACATAAATAAATCTGTTGTGCTGAATGACTATGGAACACTATTTTACACATATTTTGACATTTTATTTTTGCAAACTTAACTTGAAACATTAAAGTAAGCACTTTACTCACATTTAATACTTTTTCTATGCATATAAAGTGACTTTTGTACGTTTTTTATATAATATCATTTTATATAATATCCTTATAATATTTTTTTAATAATTGTACAATATTTTGGTTAGTTTGTTAATTTTTATGAAGCATTAAATAATTTCTATACAATTTTTTTTTGCCATTTTAGTACTTAAAAGTTATTCATCCAATATTTATATGTTACTCAAGCTCTTTTTCAATGATTTTAAAAATAATTTATGTCACAATATTATGATCTTAACAGAAGGAAGTCATTCATAATGTTTAACATGACTTAAGAAATTCACTTTAACAATATAATCGACACTAACTAGACGTGTTTTTTTGTTTAACAGAAGATTTTAGAACCACTTGAGTGTAACTGATGAGAAAATGTTAATTTTTTGTGTGAACTGCCCCTTTAAACATCCCCCGTCTCAAATCTGTGAATACCGCTGACATTAAATATGAAAGTCATCTCATGTTTACACCCTTTACGAGAAGCAGTTTTGCGTTTAAACTCCTGAATTAAACGTACGCATAAGAGAGAAAGAGAAAGAACGTTCTAATATGAAACCACATGATTACAACACTGCTTCCTGTCTGTATGCATAAACCACAGCTATGTGATAGTTACTCTTGAATTAAAAAGAGACACATTTCAGAACTGGCAAACTAAAACGACACATCGTATACACACATCTACAGTCAAAATTATTAGCCAACCTGTATTTATTTATTTTTACTATTTCCAATTATTTCCCAAGTGATGTTAAAAAGAGCAAGCCAAATTTTTCTGCATTATTTCCTAATATATTTTTTTCTTCTAGAGAAAATCTTATTTCGTTTTGCTTGGCTGGAATTATATAAAAATGGCTAAGGGCAATCATTTTAGCTCCTTTAAGACTTTTTTTTAAAACATAAACATACTACTAACCACTGTCATCTAGTGACTTGTCTAATTAACCTAAATTCCCTAGTTAACACAATTAACCCAGTTAAGCCTTTAATAACACTTTATTTATACCAGTATCTTGCTAAATCACTACTAAACATTCTGTGGTTATCATCATACACTGTAAAAATGTAGAATTCATTCAGGTTGTCTCAACACAAATCGATTATGTTAACAAATTTAGGTGGATTGAACATAAAACAATTAAGCTGTCCCCAAATTTTAAGATTTGTGTTGTTTTAGTTCATTTTAAATTAGTTTGAACAACACTTCAGTTTTTGTCTTGTTGCTTATCTAAATACCTAAAAAGCCTTAAATCAAGAAGCATTTTCTAGACAAACTAAAAATATTGTCTTGTTTTCAGAAATAATGAGTCAAAGTTTACTCAGTTTTTCCTTAAAACAAGCTAATTAATCTGCAAACAGAGTAAGCAAGCTTTTCCTTTAGACATATTATTATTTTGCTTAACTTATTGGCAGATTATTTAGCTTGTTTTATTGAAAAAAAACTCACTTAATTTTGACATATTATTCCCTAAAACAAGACAATATTCAGTGCTTGTCTAGAAAATGCATCTTGATTTAAAAATTTTTAGATATTTGGACAAGACACGAGACTAAAATCTAAGTAAAAATGGGATTTTTAGCAGTGAAGAGGCACAAATAATTTTCGATTGTAGTAAAGACAAAAGAAATTAGTTATTAGAAATTAGTAAATAAAACATAAGATATATTTGAATTTAAAATATTTTACAAATGTAGTCTTTACTACATATTATATACCGCAGCTCTGCACAAGAAGTTTGGCCAGAGGAGAAATGATTGTGCCAACTGAGCCTGGTTTCTCTCAAGGAGAGACTTTCCTTCACTTTCGTCAATTGGTGAAGTTTGTTCCTAGTCACTGTCGCCACTGGCTTGCTTGGTTTGGGACTTGTGAAGCTGTGCATCGATTAGATTTGCTCCTCATTGTTTGGACTTTCAGCAGTACCATTTAAACTACACTAAATTGAACTTCAACTCTGAAACCTGGAATGACACAGTTTAAATTTATTATAACTTCAATGTTAAGCTGTTTTAACACCATCTACATTGTAAAAGTGCTATAGAAATAAAGATGAATTGAATTAAATATAAACTACTCTGACTATATATGATAATTAGAATTTTGTCTCAGAAATGTGCCATATATTTATATCATAAACCATGTCTGTGGCCAAATATGAGGCCACAAGCATGCATATCAAGCCATCTAGTGTTCAGGCGTTCTGGTGTGAACAGCAGCAACACAATGTGACCATCAGGCACCTGACAGCATCTTATTGACAAACCGCACCAGCACTGAATTATGGGTTAAAGTCTCCACTTCCCCTTCTCGCATCAGTGTCTGAAACATCCAGAAACGCTTGGCTTTCGAGATCAGACGCTTCCTGTGCCAGGGCAGTTCAACAGGCTGCTGTTATTCGACTTCCCCTTCTGAGCCGCAGCGCAAAAAAACACTGATATTATCACTGCTACACTTCTGCATTGTTTCTGGGAGTCAACTATTGTCCGCATCACTCAGAAATATGTCAGCTTCAGTATTCAAACTTTACGATTAAACTGCGGCTTTCTTGTCTGCAAGTCTACCATTTCCTGCACTGACCATCTTGTCCTGAAAACAAAGCCAGAAAGTGTGATAACATCACAATGACCGCGTCATTACGCAATTACGGCTTTGTTCGTGACATCAGAACACACTGAATGGTAATTATCCTTAAATCTGTGATGCTTGATAAAGTTTCCTAAACTGAAAAGTTCTTTCATGAAGCAGATCAAGGCTCATTCGCATCAGTTTGTATATCTGATGAGGGATTTTACGCTTCAACAGCAATGTGGTGCTATTTCTCTAAACCACTTCCTCAAAGAGCAAAACTTGTTATGGTTACTCATATCTAGTTCTTATTACTGTCATTCAAATTACTCAAAATGACAGAAATAGCTGTAACGTCAAGCCACTTACCATTAATAATATGGTAACACTTCACAATAAAGTGAGTTGCATTAGTTAACATGAACTAGCAATGAAAAATACTTGGATTTGCATTCATTTTTGTTCATTACATGTACCGATTCGCTGCTAAAACATCTAAACTTGTGTTTAACTATTTGTTAACAAATGAGACCGTATTGCTAATCCTTACCAATAAAATAAATGTTTTTTTTTTTCATTAATATGACTAGTATGTTTCTATAACTCTACTGTAAAATGTATTTTTGAAGGTGTAAATAAAAAAAGCATATTAGTGTAGTAAATCCTACAAGATAATACTTTCTAAATCAAAATGTCACGCTTAATACAGAGCTACTTGCTATTTCTCTGTAGTTAATTGTAAAATGTGCAAAAAATCTGTTAAATAAAACATGTATATCATCGATAATTAAATGTATATCAACATTTTTCTACATAAATTATACTAATATATATATATATATATATATATATATATATATATATATATATATATATATATATATATATATATATATCAATCGTATTCTAGCTTTCTGGCTAATGCAAAGTTTATATATACATATAAGTTAATATATACAACAATACACATTACTAAATAGATAATAAACAATATTATACAGACGTTTGCTTCTTAAAAATTCTTCTAAAAATATACTAGACACTAGTAAAAAGATATGCACGTTTTAATTCAAGTCAATAAAATAATTTCAATAGCCAAGTAATTTCAGATGTATCGCCATCATCAATTCATTATAGCACAAATAATATCTTAAATAAATATGTTAGGACATTTAACCTTATACACGTGGGATTTGGCTTCATTTCAACTCTGACTTCGTTATTAAAGTCTACTCTGATTTTACTGTCTGTCTGGAAACCAGTTCACGGAGATTTACATCTTGTTTAAAGCTTTAAAATAGCCACGAGCTGAGCTCGTTCAATATTAATGTTAGTATTAGACTTTATAAAGTTATCCCGCATTGACGGTAACAGTTTAATATCAGCGAACATCACTTCTTACCCATTTTTGAAGCTCGTCGCCCGCAGATGGTGATTTGAGCAGCGTTTATTGTCGTGGTTGAGCAGTAATTGACGGTTCAGTTTCAGCACGCGCTTCTCACTTCCACGGGCGCGCGCTTTGCCTCTCAGCGTGCACGAGCACATCACCAAGAACCATGGGACTCGGAGTTTTGTGAGAACTTTACCCTAAACTGAATATTCTGTCATCATTTACTTTTACCAAACCTGTTTGAGATTCAGTTGATCACAGAAGAATATATTTTAAATACAGCTGAAAACATTGCTTACTTCATAGTGTTTGTTTTCCCTGTAGTATTCAATGTTCATACGATCTTGGCAAACCTGGAAAAGTCATGAATTTTGACAAGGCATTTTCCAGGCCTGGAAAAGCTTTGGAAAAACAAATAAACCTAAAATATTTTGGAAAAGTCCTTGAAATAAATTTGTTAAACAAAAATCCATCTCCTTAAATATGTTTAAAGGGTTAATATGCTTGAAGGGTTATGTTCTCTGTTTGGGGTGGAAAAAAAGCACCTCGCAGTTCAGCTTCGGCTCTCTTTCACTCGCATTCGTCGTAATTCAAGCTACATTTTTGAGATTGGTGTCTAGAAACCATCTCTAACTGCAGGGCTAACTCTAACTGCGGATGCTAAACCCAGTGTAAATTTGTCTTTCTTTCATTAATTGTGTTTGTGTGTTTATTCTATGGTTTAAGTGCATTTTTGTATTATTATTTTATTGATTTGATAATTATTTGTGCTCTGTTGTATAAATAGCCTAGATGAATGTTGTTATTCGAATTCCTTATTGTAATTGTTTTATAATGCATAAAAAGCTAATTTGTACTATTCTTAAGTCTTACGACAACACACGCCAACATTTCTAAAATGTTGTCACACAGATACTTTTCTAAAACTTATTTAGAGATAATAAACAAGGCTATACACAGATTGTCATATTTTTTGATATGCTGTAATAAATTCGATTTTTACATGTAGTGTATGTGGACATTAAATGAAACATTAGATTATGAATATTCACCTGAAAGTTTTGGAAAAGTCATGAAAAAGTCATGTAATTTTAGTAGTAAAATGTGTATGAACCCTGAGTATAGCATATGGTTAGAGGTTTACACTAATGCTTTAAAATAGATTTGTTAGTATTTAACAGAATAAAGCAACTTAAAAATGTTTGGAACCTTTTGAGAGAGTAAATGTTTACTTTCGAGTGAACTAAGAAGTACCCTTTTCCCTTTTAACCTCTATTATACGTTCAGAATAGCATTATTTATGGGTGAATTGTTATTTCATAAGCCCAGAAATTTAGCATGACTATGACTAAAACTATTAGTAAATAAAAAGGCAAATAAGAAAAATATTTTGAATGCTTCTTTGTTTTTTGGCCTTGATATTACAACATTAGAAATGTTTTGGAATTTTAAATTAAACATAAACCACAATATCTATGACCAATGTTAGCCACTAAAGCCAGTCAGCTTCAAGTTCAACAAACCAACAAAATGTCTGCAAACAAATACATATAGACATTTGTGACCGTGTTAAAATGCAATAATTGATGACAGACCGTGTAAATAATTATTTTTTGTGTGTGTTAACTATCCCATTAGATGACTGAAGGGCATCTCTGTGTTCAATAAACGTTAGACTACTTATTTATTTAAACCAAAGACTGGAATACAAAAGGGACTTAATTTTTGCCCAACATAATTTCTGACTACTTTTATTTGACCACTCTAGATCAGTATAATAGGCTAGTTTTATTCAACAGTTTTACTCACCGTTACAGTCTCTGCTCAATCCCTTAACGTTAGTCCTCTCAACCGTTACGATTTGAACTGAGTGTGATGTCCATAGCGCGCGAAAAACAACACTTTACAGTGACTACACATGGGTAAAGAAAGCTTAAAAAATAACCCAATAAAATGAACCAGAAAACCCAGCGTTTCAAAAACACATAGCATTTGGTGAAATAATCCCATAATTACCCCTAAAATGACCTGCGTCACGGTGGCGCAGTGGGTAGCACGATCGCCTCACAGCAAGAAGGTCGGCTGGGTCAGTTGGCATTTCTGTGTGGAGTGATGTTCTCCCAGTGTTGGCGTGTACTTCCTCTGGGTCACTGGTGCTCCGGTTTCGCCCACAGTCCAAAGACACATTTAATTGAATAAACTATTAGCCGTAGTGTACATGAAAGTGAATGCAACCCAGATAGCAAAATGACTTAAATTCAACTTAAAATCAACGTTTCTTTTGATATCGAATCCACGTTGATCACCGACGTTGATTCAACATCGTTTTGCTCATCGGGGTAATGTTGAAACGATGTCGGGCACTCCAATAAAATCTAACGTGAAATCGACGCAATTGGTTACTTACCCAACGTTGAATCGATGTTGATTTTCAGTCGATCGAAACTACGTTATAGAATCCACGCATTTTCAACATATAATCGACCTAATTGGTTTGTCTATCTAACGTTGAAATGATGTTGATTTTAAGTCGATTGGAACAACATAATCCACACATATTCAACATATAATATATCCAAATGATTTAACGTTGAAATTAATGCTTAAGTGTATGGGTGTTTTCCAGTGTTGGATTGCAGCTGGAAGGGCATCCGCTGCGTAAAACAAATGCGCTAGATAAGTTGGATAAGAAAATTAATGGTAATAATAAGAACATATTAGCCTACATCAGAATTACCAAATTGAAATTTTAAAATTATTTTAATATAACTTGATTGCCCAAAAGCAGTCCAAATACTTACATTTAAAACAAAACCATGTACAGTCAAAAACAATTTGAATACTATTTAAAACAGAGCAATTAATACATTTATTTTTACTATAATAATCATTCACTTTAAGTTAAAAAAGTGATTTTATTTCCTGCTGCAGTAGTTCATCAATAGGTTAGGTGGACATAATGACTATCAACAACACAAAAAAGTGTATGAATTTTGGTGGAAAAAATTATAAATATGTTACAATATACAAACATATTTTACGTATTTGTTTCCCATGTGTTGGGTTGCAGCTGGAAGGGCATCCACTGCGTAAAACATGCTGGATAAGTTGGCAGTTCATGTGGCGACCCCAGATTAATAAAGGGACTAATCCGAAAAGAAAATGAATTAATTATTTAGTTTTACATTTTCTGACACTGCATCAGATAGATAACTGTTCATTTAAGCATTTAAAAAGATTTTTTCACTTATCAAAAATATGCAGTAGTTTCAGTGATATGGAAATACACAGAAGAATGAGAAAGGAATATTCACTGAAGAAAACATGAAAACAATTTTAAGAAACTGCTTATAAATTTTAACTGTACAAGTAACAGCAAATTTACTACTATTTTTCCAAAATTAAATATTGACACTCCATTAAACTTTTTTGCTTTATTTACAACTTTTTCTCAGTGTCATTGGCTGTGTCTGAAATCGCATACTTCCATACTATATAGTAAAAACAGTATGCAAGCCGAGTAGTACGACAGAAATCATAGAATTCGAAAATCAGTATGCGAGAAGTACTCGGATGACCTACTACTTCCGGTGAGATTCTGATTTCTCACCACACCAGCGTCCATAGAGGCAATAGGCATCCCCCCTCCCCCCACCTGGAGCTTGCTCCGGCCCTGCACTGTAAAAAAAAAAAATCTGCAATTATATGCTTTATTACCGACAGCTATGGGGTGCCCGAAAAAACGTAAAATAGCGGCTGATAAATTATAGAAATTTACCGTAAAAAAACGGACATTAAATTACAGAAATTTCCTTAAATTTAAACCTTTGTTATTTTACAGTAATTTTCTGTAATTTAACGATTGTTATTTTACCCCAGCTGCCGGAAATAAACCGTAAAATTACAGATTTTTTTTTTTACAGTGTGACAATCCCTTGATGCACCGCGAGAAAATTCTTGCATGGGAGTGAAGCGAGGTTGTTGCTAGAGCGGATACGTTTGCGGCCGGAAGTTAACGAGAATTATTTCTATTATTTATTAAATTTCTCATTTGTTTTATTTTATTAACGTCTACCCCCACCCCAACCCTAAACCCAACCGTCACAGTAATGTAAAAACAGTAGTTGTACCGAGTATTAGTTATGTTATCTATTAAATAACCCAATAAAATTTATTTTTGAACGCCTACCCCCACCCCAACCCTAAACCCTACCCCCACAGTACTGTAAAAATATAAATTATTGTTATACAGTGTCATTAAAAAATGCTGCTTTATTAATGTGCATAGCGCACTTCCGGTCGGCCGCATATCCGATCTAGACTTTACCGTGAAGCGACGCAATTGCCGTGGATAGGTCACGTGATCAAGACAAAATGGCGGATGTCCAAGTTCCATTCATACTCACATTCATACTGTATAGAACGTACGTTTCTAACAGTTAAGTACATTTAAATTTTGAGGCAATTATGAAATTATTTCATACATAAAATATTGCTTCAAACTACAAAAAAAGTCAACAAAAGTCACTTTCTTTCCAGCATTAAATGTTCAACACTAAAAAAGACGACAGACTTGAGATCAAGGCTCCATAATACAAATCATTACAGCAAAATAACCGGAAAACACCAGTGAATCACAACACAGAAACTGTTCTTTTTTTTCAGTGAAGCATCAGTGAAGATCAGATTAATTATAAGATGTGAAACATCTACACAAAACCACAGTGAACAGAACAGTTTGATGGTAAAAGATTTCCCATTTACACACAATCAAATTATTAAAATTGACACAAGTGACAAAATTCTCCACTGAGACATTTATAAATAAGAGTAGATATCGCTAAAGGCTTTTAAAATGCTAACTTTTTATTTATTATTTGACAATCTCAACTAAAACATACAGTAGCTCCTCCCCCTTTTTCGAAAGCAGCCAATAGCGTTTAGTTTTATCACAGCTCAAGCTTTGGCCAAGCTCAAGTGCATCAAATAAAAAAGCCAAGGAAACAAAGGGGCGGGGCATGTCGGGTACTAGAGAGCATTTGATTGGTCAGAAGATTTGATGAGAAACTGAAGTGTGAGGGGACGTCAAACAATCGTCG